CAGAAAGCAGGTGAAGTTCCGTCACTGCATTTACCGTGCCAAACATACATCAACCAGCAGTCCCCAGAGCTGCATCTGGGACAGAAACAGACACAGAACCTTGGCTTTGTAGTCCTCAGGCAAGAGGGGTCTCAGGCTTTCCTGAGGTGGGAGTCCTGTGCCAGGAGCTGCGATTATGGCACAGAATCCTCACAAATAGGCTGGACTGATGACCACAGACGAGGACCCTAGTGCTGTAAGGGCTGTCATGGTGGACACACCCACAGCCAGCTCCGGGCCTTCTCACTCAGGAGTCAGGGCTCTTCTCCTCTGCCCACGCTGGTCCATGCAGCCGGCTCTGGGAGCTGCTGGGCAGGTTTCTGGCTCGCTCCTTGTTTCTGTCTCACTGGAGGTGCGGGCCTGGGGTGACTGTCCCTTGTTGAACCCCCAGAGCTAGTACTTCTGCAGGCGCTAGAGTGTTGCACTAGTTTCATGCACCTTTCCTTACCAGCTGTGTCTGAGCAGCCGCTCTCTCTGATGCGGGAGAATGAGGAGATGTTTGTTTGTCCCTGCACCACGCTTGGAATCGGTCCCTTCTCCAAGATCCCTGCTTCCTTTTGCTTTATAATAGGCAGGTAATCCAGCCAGCTTCAGAGACTCTCGGGTTCTGGCTCCTAGGCTGCTCGGTAGCATGCTGGCACCCCAGCTAAGTGTAGTCACAATGTCTCAATCTCCTTCCCTCCACCTTGACCACCCTGACTTTAGTCTCCAGGGAGCAGGAGATGGTCTGAGTTGAGCCCAGACTCACAAAATGCTTTTGGGGGAAGGGGGTACCGATAGCTATAGTGTGAACACAAAATATCCCCCCAGATTCATGTTGTCAATCACGCTTGGTCACTAGCTAGTAGCATTCTTTTTGTTTTTGTTTGTTTGTTTTGTTGTTGTTGGTGGTTTGTTTTGAAATATAGTCTCACTGTGTAGCCCAATCTAAGCTGAAACTCATGATTCTCCTGCCTCAGCCTTCCAAGTGCTGGAATTACGGGTCTATGCCATCATACCTGGATGGTGGCACTGTCTTGAGAGGGTCTAGAATGTTCAGGAGGTCAGTCTTAGCTGGAGGAAGTAGGTCATAGGGAATGGGCCCTCGGAAACGTCTTGTCCCTATTCCCCTCCTGTCTCCCTTCCTTACTGCGTCTTGTCTGATCTGAGATGAGCAGCTCCGCCAACAGGATCTATCTATGCCTCCTCAGTCCCAGAAACCCTAGATCCAGCCACAGCGGACTGAGACCTCTGGAACCTGGAAGCTGTTCCATCAGGTTATTTTGGTTACAGCAACACAAACATAATTAATACACCACCTGTGTCTATTAATGTCCAGACGGGGAGAAGCATCTGAGGGGACCGGCCCTGCCTATGGCCCCCAGAACTCCTCCCATGGCCCTGCTTTCCCTCTGTCCTGGTTCTCTTTGTTGTCAGCTTGACACAAGCTAGAGCTATTTGAGCAGAGGGAACCACAATGGAGAAAATGCCTGCATCGGATTGGCCTGTAAGCCAGCCTGTGGGACATTTTCTCCATCAATGATTGATGTGGGAGGGCCCAGATCATTGTGGATGGCGCCACCCTTAGGCAGGTGGTCCTGGGACATATAGGAAAGTAGGCTGGGGGCTGGAGAGATGGCTCAGTGGTCAAGAGCACTGACTGCTCTTCCAGAGGACCCCAGATCTCAGCACCCACACGGTGGTTTACAACTATCCATTACTACAGTTCCAGGGATGCAACACCTTCTTCTGGCCCTGAGAGCATCAATTTGCACTTTGTGTATATATATA